AGTTATATCCCCAGTTCGAGCAACTTAGCCAGAAACATTAATGTTTTGAAGATTGGTAGAATAATTTTCTTCTGACCAAAAGATTCGTCAGGACTTCATCGGAAGGTGGATATTTTGAAGAGAACTGGTATACAGAGGATGAGGCTACTTGGGAAAGAGAAGAGGATCTGAGAAAGACTTATCCCCAACTGTTTGAGTAAGCAATCATCCGAATCTCGAGGACGAGATTCATCTTAAGGGGGTAGAATTGTAACACCCTAAAAATGACATTCTTTTAAAATTAGTAAATATGATTTATTTATGCAAATATGTGTGCATTAAAATATAGGAAAATAATAAATTTTGTGGAATTAAAATTTAAAAATAAGTTTAGAAACTTTTTGATGCATACATGCTGCTGCATATCATTTTGTGAATGCTTGGAATTTGTTAAAGATTTCAAAAAGAATTGAAAGTTGAATTTAAAAGGGTTTTGGAAAATAGAAGAAATAGAAAAGGAAAGAATCATTTTTTTACTCTCCTTTCTTGAAATCGCCCATGGCCCCTCTCTCTCCCCTTTCCCCTGCTGCCCTAAGACCGCAGCTTCAGCCTCTCCCTTTCCCGCCTCGCCATTTCAGGGCCTAGCTGCGCTTTGTTTCGCCCCAAGAAGCCCCGCCAGCCCACACTTGGTGCTACTGCTGTCAGCTGCTCTGTGTCCCCGTGCTCACCTCATGACCGCTGGCCCCACCTGTCGGGCGCTGTCTCCTTCTTCCAGAATCGCCCAAGGCAAGGCCTTTGCAGAACCGCCGCCACGACGACGCACGTCTGGAGCGTTCCCTGCTCCTCGGCCTCGATTTAAAGGAGCCGAGCCCCCCCCGGCGCTCCCCGCTCTCCCCACTCCTTTTCTCACTCAAGGCTCACGCCATGGAGGTCGTGAACCGCCCAGACGGAAGAGCTCTCCGCCACCGCCCCTCCCCCCGTCCGCTGCCGCCTTTCTTCCCCGAGTCGAATCCACACCGAGTTCCCTCATTGTGAGCCTCCCTTGCTCTCCTCTTTCTCCCCGACCCTTTTCTTTGGCGTTAGATGGTTCCTAGCGCCGTAGCCGTGAGCTCCGAATGCTCTTGGACACCGTCCATGGCGACCATCGCCACGGCATCACCCTCCACCACCTTCTTGGCCAAATTTTGACCCGCTCCCCCGCTTCTCCCCGGTGCCCTCAGTTATTCGAACCGTGGACCGTAGGCCAGTAACCGAGCTCGCCGACGTGTTTCTCATCGCTGGCAATGGAGCGCCGCCGCGGCTGCTACTATGCCTGGCCGGAATCCTTCTCTCTCCCTCCCCAGGTCTAATCCGAGCCCTCCATCCATGATCCGACGGCTGAGAACGTCCGATACCCCTTCGCGGGTGATTATGCTTAAGAGCCCCTCCCTTTTCCCGAAATAGAATCTGCCGTCCTTAACGTTTTTCCCTGTGTACACTTTCTCGTTTTGAAAACGTAAAGTTAACTGTTTTAGTTCAAAGTACGTTTTCAGTATTTACAGAAATGCCATTTGAACTGTTTTGCTTATAAAATCGTCGTTTTAGCTCCGAATTGATCCGTTCAAATCGCGTTAGCTTCGTAATTTCATAATCTACATGTTAGAACCACTGTTACTCAATTTTGCAACTTTTAAATTTCATGGTTAGGTTTAATTAAATAAAGTACTATAGGAAATGCCGTTTAATTCATAACTTTCGCGTTATAGCTCCGTTTTTCGTGAACTTCGCGCTGACATGATCATAGCAAGATGTAGATTCTTTTCATAAACATTTTATTTTGTTTTATATACTGTTGGTGTACTGTTCTAATCATAGGATTGTTTGCTTTGTATGAATGCCTTTGGAATGTTGTATGTTGCCGTGTTGGTCGCGTTCAGACGGTGAGGAGAACGTCGGTGACCAAGAATTCTTTGACGAACAGCAGGACCAGCAGGAGTTTGCGAACCAAGGCAAGTATAGCATGGGATCTACCTTGATGCCTATTCACCTTTATTAATTATTCATTTGCATGTGTCTAATTTTGATACCCTTAAGGACATCCTAGTGATTGATTATCCTGTTCCTTGTCTCCTATGGGTTATATGCATATGGGTAGTTTGCTAGTGCTCAATATAAATGAACATGATCTACATAATGAATGATGGTTCTATGAAATGAAAAGGTAAAAGTTGTTTTTTAAACAACTGGATTATAGGGCGATGGAGCAAATGACTTTCGATCATGATGCTCTCGGCCTTCCATAAGGACTTATCTGTCGGCAAAAGCTAGGACTGACAGTGCAACCATGAGGGTCATATGGCTCTGACTTTAGCTCAGTAATAGGACCTTTTCTAGCTTGTTAGAGGTTACCTTTATGGCGCAAAAGGGGCTTGCCACATTGGGTATAGGACTGCCTCTGTTCCTATGTGTATAGCCGCGATGGATATGTGCCATAGGAAAGGAGGGTTCCTACATCTGCCTGCCAAGGAAACCTAGCGGCCCTAACTTGTTAGAGAAACCTATGAAATGGCTTCATAGTGTACCCTGCCCGCTCACCTTGGCAGTGATATGGGAGTAATTAACCCAGGCATATGGGAATCACGACTCGCGGTGAATGTGCACCACCTCTGCAGAGGGTAACAAACTGTTATAATAGCCGTGCTCACGGTCACGAGCGGCCCGGAAAACTCACAGAATAAATGGCTACTTATAATGTTGTTTATACGAGATGTTTATGATGATATTATGATGATGTCACATGACTCAATTGGATCGGATATATGATCACGTGGGTTTAAATGGGAGCTTAAGCATAACTTGATAATAGTTGAGGATAAAATCTTGACTTACTAAAAGTGCTAACTGCAGTAAACCAGTGTCAACGTTTTTGAGCTTCATAACCCCATGTTATCTTGTTGAGTACGGGACGTACTTACGCTTGTTTACTTTCTATATTTGGATAAAAATCTCGGATGGGTAACAGATGACAACGGATATGAGGAGTTTCCTGAGGATTATTAGGCTTGTGGTCAACCAGTCGACCGTCCCTGTTATGGAGTTCCACGAGAGAGTTTTCTTTTTATCTTCCGCTGTGTTATGTAAGACAATGTGATGCTATTATTCGTTATGTAAGATACACCGTGATGATACTTTTTATAATTTGTCAACTTATGTGTGTGACTGATCTCTGGGCACACATGAGTTTAGTGCATTCAATTTTATCCTTAAAATTGGGTGTGACAAATGATGTAACACCCCGGCTCAGGGCTTAATAGGATTAATAGGATACTCGTACCAACAAGTTACAACTTTTTTTCTAGAAGCCCATCTCTTAAGAACTCCAAGGTTAAGCGTGCTTGGCCTGGAGCGATGGGTGATCGATCGGGAAGTTCTTCCCGGGGGCGCATGAGTGAGGACAAAGTACGCAGAAAAGACTGGTGTTGGTCTGTGAGGGCAGTCTATGTCCTAGGAAAGCTATCAGATGTAAGCGGGCCTGGCCTCGAGGAGGTGGGACATTACAACAACTCTTCTGATCATCGCTCTTTTTCAGCCTATTATGTTTTTCTCAGTGGTTCTCTCATTGCTTGGAAGACTAAGAAGCAGACTGCGGTTTCTCGTTCGAGTGCAGAGGCTGAGTTGCGAGCTATGGCTCTTACGACAGCAGAGGTTACTTGGCTGCACTGGCTACTTGAGGATTTTGGTGTTTCAGTTTCTATGCCAACTCCTCTCTTGTCTGACAGTACCGGTGCTATCAGCATAGCTCATGATCTGGTGAAGCATGACCTCACCAAGCATATCGGTATTGATGCGTCTTACACTCAAGCACAAGTGTAGGATGATATCATTACTCTTCGCTATGTGCCTTCAGAGCTTCAGTTGGCTAACTTCTTCACAAAGGCATAGACAAGAGCTCAACATCGTTTCTTTCTCTCCAAACTCAATTTTCGTGATCCACCCTAAGTTTGAGGGGGGTGTTAGATATAGATGTATGTGTTTGTGTACTTTTCTCTTTATGTAAGGGCTTCTATGCATATATGCCCATGTACATGTTTGGGCTAAAGCCTACCGAATGGATAGAGTTCTTTCTCTCCTAACAGTTGCAACATACAGCACTTTGGTATTTCATATATTTTTAGATGATCCAGTATATGAAAAATATGAGTGCAAGGGAGACCATCACGTTCCATCTTACAGCAGCTGCACTGAATTATGTCACCTGAAGTATCAGACCAGTAGTCCACCAGAAACACTGATTTGTTCTTCTCATTGTGTACTAGAAAATATTTTGATGAATCCATAGCAATAATCCTATTCTGTATATGATAATCATTAATCTTCAATCATTCATGTTGCAACATATAAAAGTTAGAAGCCATAAATATATGGGAACAAGCCACTTCAATCTCATTGTGTTTTGTTAAAGGCACTGGCTGCGACTGTGAAGATCTGCAATCATATTCAACCTCAGTTTCATGAAGGCGCGATACGCAGTTCTCATAGTGCTCAACCAAGTCAAGTAATGACATATATATGTCTAGGTGCCTGTGAAGACTTGAATTGAAACTTTCACTTCTCTGGTTACTTTTCATACCCAAGAAAAACTTGTCACATTGAAAAGCAGCAGCCCATAGTTTTCTACTCATGTACATCATTGCAAGCCAATCTCTATTTGTTGCAGTCTCGTACTCGGAAAGAAAGGCATTCCATCCAGCTTCAAATGTTTCTGAACTAGCATAATACAAAAGTGTGCGGAACCCATCCAAGCAGTTGCTATGCAAATGCTTCAGAATATTTCGGCATGTTCGCTTGAACTTATCAGTCGGCTTATAAGCTAGAATCTATAGTATTTTTCTCTCACAACAAAACAGCTTTAACCGGCTTTAATACCAGCCGGTTTATCAGCTAGAATCTACAGTATTTTTCTCTCCACATGCCATGAACAGATGCGATGACTTACACCAGGCAGCACTTGCCGAATAGCTTTAATCATGGAGTAATCGCCATCAGTAATTACTGATTGTGGGTTTCTTCTGACAAGTTGCTTTCAGAAATGCTTGGAGCACCCATACATACGAATCAGCGCGCTCATCACAAATGATGCCACAACCAAAAACGGTTGTGTTGCGGTGATGGTTGAGCCCAACGAATGGGACAAATGACATCTTATACCTGTTCGTCCGATAAGTGCTGTCAAAGACGACCACGTCACCAAATGATTGGTAGTCCATACGAGATTGAGCATCGCACCAAAATAAGCTCATCAGACAATTGTCATCATCGACTTTATAATCAAAATAAAAATATGGATCACTGTTCTTCCTCTTCAGCATGAGACCTAGAACTGTCCTTGCATCACCTTCTGCGATTCTTGACCTCTTGTTCATAGAACAATAGTTGTAAATATCCTTAGTAACAATACCAACTTTGTCATATCCTCCATATCTGCATTGAAGAACATCTCTTATGACATGCTTATGGATTCCAGTAGCTTCCATTGACATGATCTCATTTCTATGGAAATCCTTAATCTTCCAGTGAGACCATAGGAACGGAACTTCATCAGGCATTGCTAGGCGATGGTTATGCTCATCCACAAAATTATTCACGTACCAAACTCCACGAGTTCTATGTAGTCTAATATCAAGTAATGCACTGCAATCACATCGAGTTAGGGCTCGTGGTCTACGACTGTAATCCTCCTTGTCCAGCCATTTTCCATCTCGCTCCCCTTCTCTACAACAACAAACCGCCTGAACACAATTGCCCCTGACTGCTTGCTACGTCTCACTTTCTCCTTTCTAACACTGAAACCCTTGTCCCTCGCATAATTATTATAGAATGTGAATGCCTCCTCTTCACTTGCAAAAGTCTTATTTGCTATGCTCCAGAACTCATCCATTTTTTTGTACCTGTCCCCAACATTTGCGACACTTTCGAACATTTCCTTGTCATAACCGACATTGCCAGCTTCCTGCAAATGAAAATGGATAATGTTTTGCTCAATACTTGACATCATACATTACTAAATTGGACATCAGTTGCAGAAAAGTAATATTGCTATTGATTTACCTTTCCATAGTTGGCCTCGCCACCGCTGGAATGGTTGCCTTTCGATGGAGAACTTGTATCTGTAGAGGTATCCGTATCATCTAACCTACTATCATCACCATCCTTAGAACTATTATCATCACCGGTCCCAAGATCGAAGAATAACTTCTCCTCATATCCAGCATCACCGATGTTGTCCATGGCAGATTCATGTAGCGTATCCCTGATAAGAGGATATTTTAGCTTCAGCTTTACAATTTCAAACCATGTGTGCTACCTCAACAAAATGGATGCAAAAGCATGATGCGTACCTGGTTTCCATGCCCTCTTGTCCACCGTGGATGGCCCTTGCCTCATCGGCGGGGCTAGCAACACCGTCCATGGCACAGCCATCGCACTGGCCATCCTCACACACTTCAAAAACGGGCAGCAATTGGCGACGAAATTCCATGCCGCTGCCAGCACAACGAAATGGGATCATCGTATGTACATCGTATGTACCCACTCCACACTAAATTGTCTGTGGTTCCGTGCAGCCATAAGACAGGAACCATATGTTTCAAAGATAGATGAATACAAATAATTGTATGGCATTCCATTTTAGAAATGTAAATAGTGGAGTCGTATTCCTATGAAACAAACGAACCACCATATAAGCTGCAGGGCAATGTCGATATGCTAATTACCTAAAGACCAACATGTGCTCTGCAAATTTACCATGAAAAGGATATGAGTCATATGACAACCATTATATATCCAGAAATATGATCAACTGTTGTTTACATCAGTTAAGGAGTAGTCGTAATAAACACCATTTCTTAATTCCTCAAAAGCTTCATATGTAACCAAGTAATCCTAAATCCAGAAAACTTTTTTTATTTATGTTTCTATGTACTTTTGGCTATGATTAGAAACCAGAACAATAATATTCCTAATGATGGACCAGAAAAGAACACCCAAAGATAGGAAGCGCCAGTGGTGTATGATTTAAGCATAAGAGTGAAATACACTGGCGGCCCTTTAACTTGTCAGCTTGTGCTATTCCGGTCCACGAACTTGCAAACACGGATAATGGGCCCCTGAACTTGTCAATTTGTTCACCGCATGCCCATTTCCCATCCGACGCGGCCTCCAGGCGACATGGCAGCACGTGCGCCGCACGTTTCAATACCGGCCACAGGTGACATTATGCCATAAGCAACCAACAGTTTCACCATTATTATTAAGAATGGTAACTGTTAACCATCAAAATGAAAATCAAATTGGGCATTTTTTGACACCTATGCATGCTTGTTGTGCAGTGGGTACATCGCACCAAAGTGCTAGAGTGGCCCCAAGGTTTTTCTGTCAAAGAAAGCAGATGTATACAACTACGGCGTGATGTTGCTGGAGATCATCAGCGGACGCAGGACACATTCATTTGAGGGAAAAAACTTTGAATGCCTTGTTGAACATGTGAGTGCTTATGGAGTTGCTGGTTGATAAGCTAGCTCCAACTGGTTCTACACCCGAATTGATAGTGATGGGTGGCATGTGTGCAGGTTGGGCAGCTCTGGACGGATAAGAGAGCGAAAAATGTCATGCATGCTGACCTAGGTGTGGAAGGACTAGAGCAGGCGATGCAACAGGCGCTGCGGTGCATGCACGTTGGGGGGGCTCGAGCCCCCCTACCGATACTGGAGCCCTAGAGCCCCCATGAATTTTTTTGGCAAAGTTCTATCGTATAGGTGGGTCTGAGACTTAAGATCGAGCAGCAGTCAGAGGTATGTTGTTGTCGCACTTTTGTTCAGCCCCCCCTAAAAATTTTCCTAGATCCGCCACTGCTCTAACTCATAAGAACCCTAAAAACACCGTTTTAATGGCTTATTGATGCTCTCTCACAATAATGTAACTATTGGCACAGGGCGTACTTGAAAATGGCAGGGAAATTGCTGTGAAAATGCTGAAGACTTTGAACAGGGACATTAAAGATTTTGAGAGGGAAATCTCTCTTGTGGCAGTCCTACGCCATGACAACAAGCTATTTGGGCATTGCTTTGAAGGTGAACATAGATTTTTAATCTACGAGTTTGTGGCTAACAATAACCTACAAAAACTTCTCTACAAAGGTACTACTCTTTAAACAGCCGGTAGAAGATTATCAAGGTTAAAAATCTAATAAATTTGGCTTTCAAATGTAGCATCTTCACGAGGACAAAAGCTAGAGTGGGAATTGATGTTCAACATCATTCTGCAGATAGCTCAAGGGCTTTGCTATCTCCACGACAAAAATATGCTTCACAGAGATCTTAAACCAGAGAATGTGCTTCTTGACAAGGACTTTATTCCGAAGATAGCAGATTTCGACTTGATGAGGATTTGTGATAGTCGCAATACCCACTAGACTACCAAAAAGGTAGCCGGGACAGTGTAAGTACATAAGCAACCAACAGTTTCACCATTATTATTAAGAATGGTAATTGTTAACCGTCAAAATGAAAATCAAATTGGGCATTTTTGACACCTATGCATGCTTGTTGTGCAGTGGGTACATCGCACCAGAGTGCTGGAGTGGCCCCAAGGTTTTTCTGTCAAAGAAAGCAGATGTATAAAGCTACGGCGTGATGTTGCTGGAGATCATCAGCGGACGCAGGACACATTCATTTGAGGGAAAAAACTTTGAATGACTTGTTGAACATGTGAGTGCTTATGGAGTTGCTGGTTGATAAGCTAGCTCCAACTGGTTCTACACCTGAATTAATAGTGATGGGTGGCATGTGTGCAGGTTGGGCAGCTCTGGACGGATAAGAGCGAAAAATGTCATGCATGCTGACCTAGGTGTGGAAGGACAGTTGCAGGCGATGCAACAGGCGCTGCGGTGCGTGCACGTTGGGGGGGGGGCTCGAGCCCCCCTACCGATACTGGAGCCCTAGAGCCCCCATGAATTTTTGGGCAAAGTTTTGTCGTATAGGTGGGGCTGAGACTTAAGATCGAGCAGCAGTCGGAGGTTTGTTGCTATCGCACTTTTGTTCAGCACCCCCAATAAAAATTTTCCTGCATCCGCCGCTGCTCTAACTCATAAGAACCCTAAAAACACTGTTTTAATGGCTTATTGATGCTCTCTCACAATAATGTAACTATTGGCCGAGGGCGTACTTGAAAATGGCAGGGAAGTTGCTGTGAAAATGCTAAAGAATTTGAATTTAATCCAAATTATTTGAGTGCTGAAGCACCCTTTATTTGATTTCAAATTTGTAAACCAATTTTGTTATGTTTTTCTACTGTTTTTCTTTGAACGTTCAATTATTTGTCCACCATACCCTATTTCATATTGTTATTTCTTATTCAGTTTTTATTTCAAGCATTAAATTATACTATTTAACCATCTTATACTTTCCTTATTTATTCCTTTAGCCACAGGGCTTATCTTCTGTTCTATGTAACCCTTCTTCATCTGCCTCCCTCCATCCCTGTCACGACCATAACTCTCCTCCTGGTCCAAATGCCGAGGAAAGCTGTAACCCAACCATCGGAGAGGACAACACTTGTGTCTTCAAGTTACAGGTTCTAGATGATGTGCCTTTGTTGAAGCTTCCAGGAAAGAGATTAACCAAGAAACCATTCAAATTTTGTTCACCATTCAAATATGGAATTATGTCTCGTCTTCCACCTTTTTTAGAGCTTTCATTGCGGATGCATGCCTTCCTGTGTGCAGATGACTCTCCATTTAAAAGGTTCCTTCTCATTCCATTTTCAATATATCGTGCTCTTTCTTCCATTTTTGTTAATTCTTAGTGAACTCCATTCAAGAAAACTTTAATGCACTTTGGGACACAATCACTGACTGGTCAAGATATTGCACTTTCCTTTGCTGATGGGAAGTTCATAGACTTTGTGTTCATGGATGGATTCATAAAATGCATAACCGAAGATGACCTAATTGTTCGGCCTGATTGCCATGGGTACCGAATATTTCTTGAACCTCTTGTTTCGGTATGTCCATACATTTTCAAATTATTCATTTCACTTTTCTATTTATTATTACAATATTACAGCATGCCAGTCATCCATACAGGATATTCTAAAGTCAGAGTCCATCAATACTGACAACTCTCAGCCTCCGCGCAGCCAGGCTGCTGTAGTAGAAGCTATAAAGCGATGTCTCCCCACTACAGACTTAAAAAAGGCAAAGATGGTATGTATCATGTGCACAAAATCTTTATTTCTTTCCACCTTTCAGCCTAGTACTTTACATTGCTCAAATCTTTTTTTCTTTTGGATACACATCTTGCAGATATTCCTTCCAGTCTTACATCTTCATCACTGGTCTGTATACTGTATCAATCTTGGCCAAGCTCGTGTCGATGTTCTAGACTCAATGAATTATAGTTGCAACACTGAGTCCACATGGGATACACACCATTCACCAATGGGTCGATTATGCAACGCCTTAGTGTTGCACTGTCTAAAGCTGCTCCCCGCAAATTCCCTCACTTTGAAAATTGGAGACATGTCCCTATCTGGGTTCCATTTCAAAAGAATATTAATGACTCAGGTTTATTCTCTATGAAGTTCATTGAATTCTATGACGGTGAGGGCCATGGTTCCCTGCATACTACCATACATGCGGTATGAAACATATTCCTTGTTAACATACCCCTCATTTTTTACATGTTTCTAACCACTTTTGTCCTTTGCAGGATCGATCAACGGAGTTGAGGGCAGAAATGCTACAATATATGGCCTTCCATACTGCCAACAATGTCCACCCTCCCAATGAGCTTCTTCAGTTCCATCTTGGAGAGTTCCATCCTGCCTACCACCCTATGTTTTATTAATGTAATGCAGTCCAATTCCTGAAGGCGGTCGATGTCCTTTGTTGTGTTGATCATTATTGCTGTTAGTCTTATATGGTGTTCCAACATAGGCTAAGTAAGCTGTGTTGTAACACCCAAAAATTTGCAACATCTTAAAAATAGGTTAATTGAATTTATTTATGCATTAGTGTGTGCATGTAACATAGAAAAATAATGAATTTTATCAAATTAAAATCAAATATAAGGTCTACATACATGTTTGTGCATACATGCCGCTGCATATTTATTTTTGTGCTGAGTGGATTGATTCAAAATTCAAAAGGAATTCAAAATCCAATTCAAAATTGCTTTGGAAATTAGAAAAGGAAAATAAAAAGGTTTTCTCCCTCCCTTCTCGTTTTCGGGCCTGCTGGCGCAGACGGCCCCGTTCTCACCCCGCGCGGCCCGCCTCTCTTCTTCATTCCGCGCAGCCGCTTAGCTCGGCCCAGCAACCAGCGCAGCCGCCTCTTCTCTCCTCTCTCTCCTCTCACTGACAGCTTGGGCCCGTGTGTCAGGGTTATCCCCTTCCTCCAGCTCGTGTCCGAGCCGGACACTAAGATCATCTCCGCCACGACCGTGTCTTGGCGTGCTACCCACGCTGCTCCGCCCTCATAAA